TTTTTAATCTAAGATGTATATTCCTTTTGATATCAAAAAAATTCTCAAAAATGAGAAAACATCCGTAACATTTTGTAGAGGACGTTCAACTCTTTTACTTACTGACAAACATCATAAATAAATCCAAGGAATTGTTTACACATGGCATATACATGTACCAATAAATTGGGATACCAGTGAACAAGCATAATTTTAAGGAAAAAATAAAAATAATTGCTATAATTTAAATTACCTATATTCTTTGCGCATTCCATGTAAATGATAATTTTAAAATGCCCATATAGAACCTTTGAATATATGTCCAGAAGAGGAATTACAGTAATGCATTCAGATAGATTGATATCTGATAATTTTTAACCTTTACACTTGTTAATACTTTTTTATCGAAGAAAATTAGTGTACATTACAGGAAATCGATCACAGATATTTTAATTAAGATAGATAAAAGTACAAAAAATGCGTGCTGATGATCTGTATCTATAACCACGTGTACATTGCACTGATCCAAAGTCACTATTAAAATGTTAGTCTGTGTTATTACAGGTGAACTTCAAAGGAATAATTTTATTTTAGACACGCTTGATCAATAAAAACGAAATATTGTATGACAAAAATATTGGAGTGCAAATAAGTAAATAAAGATATTTTTTTCTAGACCAAAAAATAGGAATTTTGGAGCAGAGACTTTAAGACCAAAAACTGAAAGGTCAAGGTCGACTTTCATCCCTTTCTCCACCTGCTTTTTTTTCAGCTCTTCTATCCTTTTCTTTTTTCCCTTAAGTTTGTTTGCTTAATACCCAGGAGAAGAAAAGATTTTCAAAGAAATGATGCATTTTCAGTTTATAGTCAAAGAACAAAGTAAAAAAAAAAATCATATATTGCATACTTAGTGTTCAGTAGCCTTTTTCACAAAAATTCTTACGAGTAAGATTAAAATTTTACAACTCTGTAATTTCTTTGTTTGATAAAGAAAATTAATTTTTTCAGAAGAATAATTCTCAATATACTGTAATGTAATAGAAATATAAGATTTTTTGTAACATACTTCAATTTAGGTACATGCAGAAGAATTGGAAAAATTTAATCTTAGTCGTAAGATTTTTTGTGAAAAGGGCTACTGATAACTAGTTTCCTCTGTAAGCTTTTGCAATTAAACGTAAGGTCATGAATTTCTCTACCTTAAAAAAGACGCCTTAAGATTTTAAGACCAAAAACTGAAAGGTCAAGGTCCACTTTTATTCCTTTCTTCATCTGCTTTTTTTCTTCCAGGTCTTCTATCATTTTCTTTTTTTCTTAAGTTTGTTTGCTTAATACCCAGGAGAAGAAAAGAAGATTTTCAAAGAAATGATGCATTTTCAGTGTATAATCAATAGAACCTCCACCGCACTCCAGAACCCCTGACTCTGGTGCCACAAACTTCACACAATTTGGAAGAGGTACCCTTGTTCATCATAACCATGCACTTAGTTTATCTGCTAAATACCCGAGAAGATTTTCAAAGAATTAATGAATTTTCAATATATAATCAAAAGACCCCCCTCCCCCCCCCAACATTAGAAACCCTGACCCAGGGGTAATGAAATTCACACAATTTTAGAACAGACACCCTTGTTCATTATAACTATGCACTTAGTTTGTTTGCTTAGTACCCAGGAGCAGAGAAGAATATTTTAAAGAAATAATGCATTTTCACTATATTATAGATAGCATCTTTCTGAATAAGAAAAAGTACAAAAGAAAACGATTTGTGAACAGAATATCATACAAATGCCATTTAAAAGCAAAATTAAAGGTAAATTAATTCACACCTATATTCAGTTGAACTAGTGAAATATCTCACATCATGCAAAGAAATTTATTGAAATCGAATATTAAATTAGATGAGACCCTCCTTCAGCATAACCTCTGACACTGGACCCAAAAATTTCACAGTTTAGAAAGAGGAACCCTTGCTTATCATAACAATGCATCTAGTTACCCGCTAAATATACATGGTGAGAGAAAACGATTTTTAACGAATTTATGCATTTTCATCCTTGGTGGAGGGTTCAATGCATTTTACAATCATATCAACAGTTTGACTGCTTGATGTTCAGGAGAAAAGAAGATTTTTAAAGACTACTAATTTTGATGGTATAGCCTCATCCATTAGGCCCAGGGACAGGGACCATGGAATTCACAGTTTTTGTACCCCTTTACTCATTGATGCTATATGCTAAAATTGGTTGAATGAAATTGGTTCAGTGGTTCAAGAGAAGAAGCTGAAAATGTTCAAAAGTTTACGACTGATGAACGACGCACCACAGACGTCGCACGACGACGGACGAAAACAGATAGCAATATGTCATTTGAGTAACTCAGATGACCTAAAATATCCCTCCAAAATGCTAGAAGTGTACGTTAAATTCCACTGTGTTATAGCATATCGATCGGGATTAGTCTAGTGGTGAAGAAGGATGACCGTTTACCGCGTTTGTTCTTTCTAGCCTGTTCGAATAATGAAATAGCCGGTATGTATATATGATTTTTTTTTATCCTAAGATGATGAAAATATAGTGAAATATCAATTTTAAGAAAAGAGATAATCCCAGCATGAAGTTTTTATGAGCAATATTTTAATTACATTTCATTTTTCCCCTCGTTACTGTGATCTCAAACTAATGAAAACAAAAGGATTTTATATAGTTACATGACAGTGTAATGAAAAATGAAGTATAGTTTTAAATAATTTGATTATGACGAGCTTTTGTTACTTTTAAGTACATGAAGTGGCCCAGAGCTATGGCTTTCAACTCGACATTTAGATACTAGTATATCAACGACTTTTATCAGTTGAAACAAAAGTTACTTTCATTCATATGTCGACTCGATACATCCCAGTGAACTCGAAATTAAAGACACTACACAGTCTGCCACGTTTCATTTTTTGGATGTTTTCATGCCAGTAGGAAGCAATTTAACTTGGGGGGGGGGGGCACAACCATACATTTTCAGCACTATCAATTACCAAAAATTCCTTGACAAGCAAAAATAAAAGTCATCAGACGTTATTATTGTATTATTGAGGGGGCTCAAGCATAATTATAGTAGCTAAGTTTTCTACAGTATTCTATATATCGGTAAAATTATTGGGGGGGGGGGGGAGTTTCCTACGGCCATGGTTTTACTAACTTAAAGACGATAATGACTAACAAAAGACTAAACTGTGTGACAAACCCAAGAGCAGGCTCTAAGTACGATCAATTGGGTGTTGATAATGATATTGTTTTTTTTTAAATTGCAGGCTATCAAGGAGAAAAAAATCGACAACCTACGGAAAGAAGACTAACTCATTATGCCACCTACAAAGAAATTGTATCTTGAAAAAAAATTAATTGTATGGCTGAACCATGGATTGAACCCGGGACTCCTGCATCACTCGTCAGGTGCTCTAACCAATGAGCTATCTAGACCGATATTCACAGCCCAGACCATTACAGACAAATAAGTTGATGATACAAGTAAATCAGAAGTCTCGTTTGAAGTCAACATTTCTCAAAAATTTCCGTTTACCCGATCATGCGCACACGGCGGACGAGACCAATCAAAAGGGGATGCTTACTCCTCCATGGCACCTGACCCCACTTATTTTCAGGTGTCCGTTTTTTGCTCCGTTTACAATTTGTTCCTATTTTGTTCTGTTTAAAATTGGTATTGTTTAAATGTACTTTTGAGCATTTCATTGTGGTTCACTTAAGATTAAAAAAAATTGAGAATTATTTTAACTTCCTTATAGTCATAGCTGGTTTACCTTAATGGGAATAGTAAAAATTCACGGTGGATGGATTTGTTTCAATTTTGAATGATTAAATCACACATACATCAATTTGTATAAATTATCTATTTAAAAGTAGTTTCGAGGCATAATATTTTTATATCATTACCTTTCAAAATTAAATAGAGAGATTCAATTACGCTAAACAAGGTATCATTGGTGATTCGTGAAAACATTTGTTGTAACATGGGGGTACTCAGTTCTTTATATTCAAAAAATATTAGTAAGGCCTAGGCAAACTATAAAAATGTTTTGTTTGAGATTTCGGATCGGAAACCCTTGGCTAAAGAAGATGCATGATGGATAATAATCTGTGAAAATTGCAAGGAAACATGTGCTGTAAAAAAACCACACACAAACCCAAGCTATCAGATATGAAATTTATGACTATAATTTCCGAATGCTACTTACAGGGAGAATTTTCTTCTAATAATTAATAAAACGCACATTCATAGTGAAAAAAAACCCCAGAAATTAAATAAATTTGTGTTGCAACCAAATTCAGATGTTGTCAAATTCAAGGTGACTATAAAACATATGATATACATCGATTTTTCGATTGCAAAATCTGAATCTTAAAATATTATAACTTTAACAACGCCTAACTTATTATTTTTATTTGTAAATTTAGATATCCATACAGAAAAGTACATATTTTTTTCGCATAAATGTCATAAAAAGAAATAATAACGATTTACAATAATTTTTACACCCCCCCCCCCCCTTCAAGTATACTGTATTCAATTTGTCCCATGGTTGTTGATTTGGGCAGATGATTGAATGCTTAGAACTCACTTTCCTTTTAAAATTTAAATATGAAAAAAAGGGATTCTATTTCTGATATGTATTTCAATTTCTATCATATTTGAACGTATCTGTTTTCCCTTTCCAATCAAACTATTCCCTTCTATTTTTGAGAAGATATAAATGTTTGATACAATTAACAGTTTTCACGTGGAGTTTTTTCCCCTATGTTACACACCCAAACAGACTAAGATCCTTGTCAAGAACTGTTTAAATAGAACCAAAGAACATTTTTTTTCCAAAATATTTAATAAAAAATTATAACAGATGAAATAAATATTAATAATATAATTGATTAAAGTGTGTAGAAATCATGGACATTTAAGAAGACGTTTAAAGATATTTGTTACAGCTTTCATTTTATTAATGAATGACAGGCCAGTATAAGAAATGATGCTTAAAGAAAGTAAGCTTGCATAAAATAAATTCTATTTAGTTTTTTTACCCTTTAATACATCTTAGAATAAAATCAGGTCTGAAATACAGAGTTGTATTATAGAAAAGGGAAAAGGCAACTCCTCAGAAAGACTCCAAACTCGGAGAACAATTATAACTCGTCCATAGATAGCACCATATTATACATATATTGTCTGAGGACACACGCACAGTCTTCGTCTAACCACAGACAACTTAGTTCAGACAGTTGTGTGCACTATCAAAAAAAATATCTTTAAATTCTTCATGTACCTGGGTGTCTAGTGATGTCAACTCTATAATAAACAAAAAGCATTTTAGTGGTCAATCATACAAATATACACATCTAACGCGTACGATGATTGCAAAATAGATTTTTATATTCTTCTTAATATACGTTTAAGTAAAAATAACCGATATTGGGCTAATTTACATTTGAACTTCACTCTCCCTTTAATCTTGGAGAACCGCCTTAACTTCTGGTGAGATTTTGACGAGGTGTTCGATGGAGTATGGTTTTTCACAAACGTTTGGATGTTTTGAACGAAATTTGTCAACTCTTGAAAAAGAAATAGAGATATGTTTATAAATTAATAAAAGCTTGCAGAATTATACTAGCATAAAACAGAGAATTGCAAAGCCGCGAGCAGCCTCTTTCTACAATTCATTTCAATCACAGAACACAATTTCTCTCACAATGAATCGATATGGTGTTCACAACGTGAATAGAGTACCGGTCTTGTAGAGTATGCTTTCACCTCTAAAATCTTTTCCCCCGGAAAACTGGCTCTAGAGTAAGATTTCTCCCACGAAAAAATGACTCTAGAGTAGAATTTCCCCTACGGAAATCCCACACCAGATTCAATTTCCCGGGGGAAAATCCTACTCTGTTTAGTAGTTATAGAGTGCATTTCTCCAGAGCCAGTTTTCCCCCACTTAGAATACATGTACTTTGATATTGGCTTATCTGTTGTAATTTGCTTTTAGGTATAAATTCATTTTTTTTAAATCGACAACGAATTTCTCACAAACGGAATTGGATAAAAATTCAAATTTTAAAAATAATTATAACTATTTCTTAAATCTAGCAATTAAATTTCGACTAAATATGTTTGTCTAACATTTCTTTTCTATTACTGGCATTAATTGGATAAACAAAACATTCACAAATGTTTTATAAACGTTCCTTACAAATTTCTAATTTTGAAAAAAAGCAAAATATCCATCTGATTCTTCTTGACATGTTTATTGAGATATTCATTCAATGAATAAATTAACAGCAAATTTTAAGTTCTTTAGTGTCTTATTTGCAGTAAAACAATATTTACATTTTCCCCAAAAATAAAATACCAAAATAATAAAAAGAAATAATAAAGAGCTCATATCTCGGTCCTTAATGCTGAAATCACATTTCAAAAGAGATGTTTACAAAATGTAGGTACCGTAAATAAAGTTTTGGTGTTGAGTACTCCGTAATATTTTGGGATGAACTACATAGTTCGAAATACATTTTTAGAATTTACACTATAGTTGATTTTTTTTCTATTTATTTATATAACTGTCATTTCAACTTTTAGCCAAAATACTTTCGCTGTCAGAGGTTAAAATACATATTTTATATATGTACAAGTAGGGGAAGGGGAAGTCCTACTCTGAGAAAGAAAGAGGGGGAAATCTGGCTCCAGAGTGAGATTTCCCCTCGGGGGAAATCCTACTCTAGAGTACAGATTTCGGGGGGAAAGCTGGCAATGGGGGAAATCCTTCTCTACAACACCGGTAATGTTGCACATGTACAATGTATTTTTCTTGCATTTTGACCCTTTAATCAATAGGTGTCTATAGAGAAAATATGAGACCCAAAAGTCGAGCGTTAAATTCCAAATTATGGCCACTTTTTAAACCTATAATTGTCTATAATCTTGACCTTTGACCCTGGAATTACCAGGTCTCTGAATATACCAACGACCTTTGTAGGAAGTATGAGACTGATGGTTAAGTGATACTTCCTAAATTGTGCCATTAACTCTGTTGAAATCTCTTTCTCTCTCATTCTCTCTTTTGCTTTGAGCTTTGATTTTTTTGGTCATCAAAAGTATGGGCCTGTTTGCCGTGTCATCTACCGTTTCTCTACTGAAAGATGTTTTTGTACTCTACATAGTAAAACTCCAACCTTAATACAGACTAAAAATGACTTTGACCATTGACCTTTTGACCCACATATGAACACTAGTCCCTTACCATATCTTTATTGTCGTGTAAAAAGATATCCTGGGATGACTTTGAATTTTGAACTTTGGCCCTAAAATGAATAGACTTATACGCCTTGTCAAGTACAAGATTTACATAAAGTTTGAGATTAAACGATAAAATAGATTTCCTTATACCGTGTCCATAGCTTCGTTCGGAACGCACGTGCGGATTGATGTACATGTACATCGAGATGAGATATACAATATATCATTGTAAATATGCCTCGTGGGGATAAAAAGTTCGTACCAATTTGAGATCAATAAAGAAGACAATCAAGAATTAATGTTTTGCCAGCACATTTAAAAAATTACAAATAATAAATATATATACCAATCATTATTTAGTCGTTTTTAATAGATTCATGAAGGAGATCTATAAATTACCTACCTTTTGGGTCTATTGACACTTTTATATGAACAAATAATTTTCTGTGGGTCTTTTCCACTATTTTGTAATGTAACGAATTTAATCCATCGTTTTCCATGCGTTGTTTTCCTGTCTTTAAAATTGTCCCCCTTTAATGTTAGAAAATCTCTCTAACTTAGACATTTACTTGACATCAGAGTTATAGTAAAGTATACATATATTTTGGCAATGAAATAAAGACCATAAATTTGGTCTCGTTTTGATGTAAATATTCTCAAAACAGTTTTCACTCTAATAACATTTTTTTCAGAGTTTGATTTTCAAGTTTAAAATGGGGGTTTATTATCTTTTCCTTGGGAATATTTTGATCAAGAACCTGAGCCAAAGGATAGAGCTTGTTTCATCAACTTACAGAAGCTTTTCAAGATAAACGACAGATAGAAATTATTACCTCTGAGGGTTGGCCACTGCTTGCTTGTGTGAGAGCATGGTATATCTAGCTACGTCACTCATGACTCTAGATATCGTCATCTTACTGGAAACAATTCTGAAAAAAGATCAGAAAAAAAAATAATTTCGCTAAATTTTTAATATTGTTTCGTAACTGTAAGCAATTGTTTTGCCCACCGAATGCAGATTTTATTCTGAGACTTTTAAATCTGTTGTATTAACATTCTTTCTGGGGATGACAATTTATAACCGGTTACTCGGTCAGAACGATTGTAATCGGTTAGAAAATCTGTAATGGTTTAGTCGGAAAAATAAAACTATATGTAAATTTGAACTCAATTTCCTTGAAATTCAAAAATTAATAAATAAATAGTAAAAGAAAAATTCTCTGTACGTTTATAAGTTGGCGTTTTTGTATCTATCTTCTGAAAAATAACAACGTCTCCGATGTCAGTCATGTTTCATGGTATTCTAGCCTATTGAAATTAAAATAATAATACAGAATAGCAATAATGTCTTTTTAGTCTTCTTGTATATATGAAAAGAACTTACTTGAAAAAAAAAAATTAAATTGTCCAGAGAATATCTATTTTGATACTATCAACCAGTTAATCTTGCTATTAACCAATCGGCAATTCTGCATTTGATTGCAATCCCTAATTCTTTAGTTTGAAAATATGAAAACTCAAAAATAGTGAAAAAATGGAGAGAGAGAGAGAGAGAGAGAGAGAGAGAGAGAGAGAGCATAGAAATTCAAGTTACCTATTGTACAAATCATCATCTTCACCACCCCAGTCAAAGAACCAGTTTGAGAATCCATTAACGGCTGTAAATTGTTCTTTGGTCAACGAAGAAACCCCGCCAAAATTCTTAGGATAAAGAAGTCTGAAAACAAAGTCAACATTATACGTATTTCTCGATTTCACACCTGAAGCAATTTCAGCATTTACGAATAAAAATGGCCCGTTTGACTGCAGAGTGAACGTTTCATACTTGTATTTGTATTTGTCAATGGCGACAGACATGTGTCTTGGTTGATCTGGACATGAGTACAAGTTTAAGTCATTCATAGGAAGCAGATCCACATCATGGAATATAAAACAATCAAAGTCATAGTCACTGCTGGCTTCCATAAATCCAACATTAAATAAAAACCCTCTGTTGAATGGAATATCCTTATCCTGTGCAATAAAAAAATGGATTTTTTTTCTCTTCAAAAATACTTCTGAAAAGGTAAAATATATATGAAACGACTGATTCAGAAACAAAATTAGAGAAAAGTTAAATAAATGAGAATACATAACAACTTAAATATTATTTTTGTCATCTTCATGATTTGATATAAACTGATAAAACATGATATGGGTTAAGGACCTAGATCCATATTATCATTTCAAGACCTGCTTCGCATTAAGGAGTACTGACTATTTTGAAATCTCATACTTTTGCTTCTGAAATAATCCTTGAAAACAAAAATTTTACCCCTTCAAATGCTAATGAAATTATGGTTGAACCCTGCTTTTCTCTGTTAAAAAAATGTGAATTTAAATCAAAAATAATTTCTGTAACCATAATACAATAAATCTTTTCAGACTTAGTTTAACATGTAAAGTTAAATTAGCATGACGTGATTTTTTTTTTCATTTTTCCCAGGCCAGTTGAGTATACTTTTTAAAAAAATAATTTACATTTGCTGTCAATGTTGGCATGATAAAAGGTGTCTTCTCTACTATCATGTTGTAAATTTTGCATTTACCTTCACCTAGAAAATTCAAATGTACAACATGATACTACCTTGCCAAAGCAAGAGGACAAGCAGGGGACACAGGTACACTTATATGGTATTTCTACTTACAAGTTCTACGACGTATATCCCATAATCTAACTGTTGCTTCATAAGAAAGGTATGCATGTTGTTGAGAAATATTCTAAGATGGCTGTCCCTATCACGATAGGGAATGAGAATGGCTACTTTGCTCCTAGAAGTGCAATGTCCAGGCCGATGACTACCGTTGACCACCATATGGTATTTCTCCTGGATGACATTCCATTTCAGAGGATTTTTATCTACACTGATACGTCCAACTATTAAAATATGTAAAACATATATAACAAAAGTCAAATAACGTTATGAAATATAGCCGATCTATAATATAAAACGTTACAGAAACAATGAAATGGCTTGGCTGTTCCTTGCAATGCCACTGTTAACTGTGGACCAGAAGCACTAGACAGTTCTCAGTTCTGTTACATGAATAACGAATATCACACATATGAGGGTTTTTCCGAAAGTTCGCTGACATATTGTCAATCTTTCTTATAGTCAAGAAATTCAAGATCAGCACTGTAGTCATATAGACATTGTCAAGTGCATTGTTTGTAAATTAATGTCTTTCACTATAATTAACAATTTTTAGTTGCCAATGAATACATGACTAATTACTAGTCATTTACTCATCGACAATTAAAAATTTTTAATTAGTTAAAGATATTATCATTTCGACCTGCTCTGTGATCCCATTTTCGCAGTTTTAAATTCTGAATAAGTTTGAAATATATCAAGAAATATTTGAAATATGAAAAAAAAAATAATTCAAAATTATTGTTTTATTGTTATAACAGTCTTCCAAATTTGGATATAATATGGCATTAAGTAAAAAAGTTCTGAAAACGAAATACAAAAACTTGACTATCGTTTAGTGCCACTTCAAAGTCACATATATAACAAGCTTAAATAGAGCATCAAGAATAATTTAGGAAGACCATGGATCGCTTGCAGGAACTGATCTTGGAATCTTTATTCCCACACAGACCCGGAACATAACTACAATATATTTTTATTAAAATTATCTCCCCCTCTTCCTGTCATTTTAAGCGATTTGTAAAAAAAAAAAGGGGGGGGGGTTGAGTTCAAAGATCCCGAGACTTGTTCGGATTGCTTAGTGCTCAGTGAGACTTTCTCAGTATTTTATTTAAATTTTGGTAATCGATAAAGAAAACTCTTTCGATGATTGATTAAAAAAATGAAATTATTTTGGATTTCGGCATCATACAAACTTAAAATTTTATAATTCTTTAATCTCTAATTTGACATCTTGGTTGTGTTATTATTTATGGATACCTGAATGACCTATTTTCCTTGTTCCATGATAAATCATAACACCCAGTGGAGAAAAAGAAAAGGACATTTACTTAGTTAAAGTAATGAAAACAAACCATACAAGAACAAAATCACGGCCAGGAACACGTTAAGTTCCTAGACAGTACCGTTGTCAGAAACCTTTAAAGTTAAGCACTAAAACTGGTTCGTTGTCATGAACATACAGGTGAGGTTATGATAAAATCCGCCCAGTGTCATGACTTTAGAAGACAGGCTGTGAGAAGTTTTTCATTTTTCAAGTTAAATTATCTATAACAATGTCTGAAATTGCAATGGGAAACAGGGCTGACACCTTATTTGGTGCTGTATGAATTTCAGCCGTTAAAAACAAGTAATAAAAGAAGAGTTTGCGTTGGCGACATTAACTCTGTTGAAATCATTTGTGGATTTGATTCGTTTTCCTACTGAGATGTTATATTTTTCGTAAATAGCATATAATATACACACCAATTGGTGCAGACAGTATCAAGAAATGTTGTAAGCCTTTACAGAAAAATTGAGAACAAATTAAAACTGAAAATTTTGATTTATTTCAATTTTTGTCCGTTGTCATAACAAGATACGAAAATTCAGTCCGTTGTCATCGGTCCGTTGTCGCTACTGTATTGTATACACTACGTTCTTATGGTGTTTTGGGTATCGTTAAGCATGCCATCAAAAAGAGGGGTGTGACGGTACATATTGTCGTTTTGTACATATTGTCGTCGGCGACAAAATGTACCTACCCTGACTGCACATATCGTCGTCCACCGATACATATTGTCGCCGGCGACAATTTGTACCGAGACGAGCCTTTTTTTTTCCTCCTGCATAATGGAAGACAAAATGTACAGTCAAGCATCGGCACGTTTTGTCGTCGGCGACAATATGTACTGTGACCATTGGCACATTTTGTCGCCGATATATTGTGTTGAATATTTACTAAGGTCGTGAAGAGAGAGAGAGAGAGAGAGAGAGAGAGAGAGAGAGAGAGAGAGAGATTGACACACATACACAGAGAAAGAGAGAGAGAGCTAGACAGACAGAAGGATAGACATAGTGGTTGGCTGATAAATAAGTAAACAAGTTGTACTTATTTAGCATTACTCGCAATACTGTAGGGAGAAATGGTTTTGCTCAGAAAATTGTGTCCTGCATTGGTTTACATGACTATGATATGTCAAAATACCGTAATTCTTGAGATATCTGAAAAATTCTTTTTTTTCTCGTAAAATATACATGGATTTGAGATTGAAAGTTATTTGTTCTGTAGAAATGTTATCTGGAATTCTTTTTTTGGCTTAATTCTCATACGAGTGCCGATATAATTGGTGTAGGAGTTGACATATTTTTGGTCACCTGAACTGATAGCTCTACTGAACTCTAGTGAACTTTTCTGATCACATTTCTTGTGTAGTCCGTCTGTCTGTGGGTAAACTTTTCACATTTTCAGTTTCTTTTCAGGAACTACTGGCCAATTTCAATTTCAACCAAACTTACCAGAAAGCAAGCGTGGAAAAAAGGAGTCAAATTTGTTCAAATTAATGGTCATGACTTCTTTCAAGAAAGTGCATGTATAGTCAAGAATTAGTGAAAATTTAGTAAATCTTTAAATAATTTTCTCAAGAATCATTGTGTTAGAAAAGTTGAAACTTATGTGAAAGCTTTATTATAAAGTGTAGATTCATTTTTATTCAGATCATGTCTGGGAAAGGGTGGGGCTACAATAGGCGATCAAAGTTTTAATAGAATATTTAAGAATAATTCTTTCAAAATTTTCTTCTCAAGAACTTCTGGGTCAGAAGAGATGATACTTAGGTGAAAGTACATACATGAAGTGTACTTTTAATTTTTCAGATTCTGACACGAAAAAGATCCCACACTTTTCAATGGCCCTGAGTTCCGAGAATAGGTCTAAATTTTTGGCCCTACACCGGCAAGTGGGATATTAAAACAACAAACAAACAAACAAAAACAAAATCAATTTTGTTCAAATCATGACCCCCATAGGTAGGGTGGGGCCACAATTGGTGATAAAAGTTTTCCGTTGGAATATACGGTATACAAAAACTAAAAATCTTCTCAAGAACCAAAGGCGGATCTAGCACCGGCGCACCCCACCCTCTCCCCCATCCCTATCCCACCCTGCCCCCTCCGTTTGATTTTTTCATTTTCTTTGCTTTTGTAAATTCTGTTTTTTAACCTGTATATACTCTCAATTTTGTCCACATGTAATATTTCATGATTAAATAATACACTTAACTTATACAGTAACACTCCTTCACACACAAACGATTTTTTTTGGCTTGTCAAAAAAAAAATCTGAACCGCACCCCCCCCCCCTTTCCCTGTTCTGAAATATTGAGAACAGCAGTAGGCCCGTTATTAGCGATGTTTATATGGAAGCATCCTCAAGTAGTGTAGATTCAAGTTTCTTTTAATCACGACCCCCGGGCCTAGGTTGGGGCCACAAAGGGCGATCAAAGTTTTACACAGGAATATATGGGGAAATTCTTTAAACTTTTTCTTCTCAACAACACCAAAGCAATGATTAGTCATATCTATATGGAAACATTGCCATGCATTGTCATGCGACATGTACTAATGGACGACAATATGCGCAGTGAGTGCAGACATGTACACATTGTCGCCGGCGACAATATGAACAGGACGACAAAATGTACCGTCACAATTACGCTGCATGAATAGCATACGAGATACGTCAATGTGATTTACACACCAATTACATTTACAAATCCACCAAAAACCAAGAGGCCCATGGGCCACATCGCTCACCTGAGTACTTTCGTTCGGAAATAGCAGAAACAAGTTCGGTATTCAAAAGTTTAAATATTAAAGTGGGGGGGGGGGTATGATTTGCATGAACAAACTTGAATCTACACCACCTAAAGATGCTTTTGAACTAATATGACTAATAATGCCTTTGTTTTCTGAAGAAGAAATTTTTATTGATATATCCTTTATAACCCTTTGTTTAACTATGATCCCCTGTTTGGCCCCTCTGTGGGATCATGATTTGAACAAATTTGAATCTACATTACTTGAGGATGCTTTTATTTTATGATGACCAATCACGTTTTTGCTGTTCTTTGGAATAAGATTTTTTAATGATTTCCCCTATGTATTCCTATGTTAAACTTTGATTTGAATAATCTTGAATCTACACTACCCGAGGATGCTTCCATATAAATATGACCAATTATGGCTTTGCTGTTCTTGAGAAGATTTTTAAAGATCTTCCCTATATTATCCTATGTGAAATTTTGATAGCCCACTGTGGCCCCATACTACCCCCGGAGTCATGATTTAAACAAACTTGAATCTACATTACCCGAGGATGCTTCCACATAAGTTTCATATTATCGGCCGTTGTCTTGCCCGATTTTTTTTCGTCGGCCGACCAATTTTATGCATGTCAGTCGGGTCAAGTTATTTTTTTGCGTCTGTGGCCGATTCAATTGAAGCACTCATTGAATAGTCCGTCCACCAACCTTCGACCATCGGCATACAGTTTTAAGGTCGGTCGACATTTAGGAATTGGGTTTTCGTACAAATGTCGGCTGAAGATGAAAATCAAACTGCGGCCTAGCGAACGATGATCGGGCGACGTTTGGCCAACTTTTAAAGGTATCGGTGTTCCTAGGCATTAATGTGACTACTCTGCGTCGCCCCATACTAGTGTCGGGCGATCATGTTTTTTCTGCCGACGATACGAAAACAATTTGGTTGCCCGACCATCGGCTTAAATGTGACCTAAGCATAACATTTTAATTTTATTATACTGATGATATACAAGGAATTGTATGTTTGCATACTAGCTAGGATGCAGGTTCCTAAGAGAAAATGAATTGAAAATAAAAACATCGCTGAATAGTTAGCACGTTGGTGTGAGCTGCTTTAAGACGACCCCAAGATTCAA